AACCTCCAGGCGAAGGACCCCCAGGCAAAGCACCTCCAGGCTCAGCACCCCCACGCTCAACACCTCCAGGCTCAGCACCCCCAGGCTCAGCACCCCCAGACTCAGCACCCCCAGGCTCAGCACCCCCAGACTCCGCACCCCTAAGCTCCGCACCCCCAAGCTCAGCACCCCCAGGCACAGCACCCCCAGTCACAACACCCCTAGGCTCAGCACCCCCAGGCACAGCACCCCTAGGCTCAGCACCCACAGCAGCACCAGAGTCACCAGTGACCTCGATAGGCTCGACCGCGTCTACCTGGGACACACCTGAAGGGGCAGGACCCTGAGGGGGGAGGGGGTCTACCGGGGGGGGGGGAGGGACGGAGTGCGGTAGGGGAAGAGGCGGTAGTAGGGTACCGACTCGTCGAACGTGACGTTCTGGGAGGACAGAACACGGCGAGAGGTGGGGTGGTAGAACTGCCACCCAGGGGCGTCGGGGGGGAACCCCAGGAAGACGCAGGGAGCAGCGCGAGGGGACAGCTTGTCCGCAGACAAGTCGCGGACAAACGCCCGAGATCCCAAGACCCGGAACGCCGACGCATCGCCAACCTTCCCCGTCCACAGCAGGGCTGGGGAGGTCTCCGGCCTGGAGACCCTGGGGTGGAGGTTGATCTGATGCGCCACGTACCACACCGCAAACGGCCACAGAAAATGGGGAGCAGCCGCATGCATCATAGATGTACGAGCGACGTCCATGACCATGCCAATGCGGCGCTCTGCAATCCCATTCTGCTGCGGTGAGTCCGGAAGCGTGAAGGTCTGACGGATGCCTCGCGCACGACAGTAGGCACGCAGAAGGCCAGAGGAGAACTCTCCGCCTCTGTCCGAGTGCAGACGCAACACACGAAAGTCCGAGCCAAAGCTCTGCCTGAGCTCGAGACGAGCTGCGCGGATCCAGTCGATCAGCACCTCAGTGACATCACCCTTGCTGCACAAGGGGAAGACTGTGGTGTAACGCGAGTAGTCGTCAACCACCAAGTGGAAGTAGCGCTCGTGACCAAATACACGGACGCGGGCAGGGCCCCACACGTCCATGTGAAGCGTCTGCAACGGAGCCTCTGTCGGAGGGAACTGGGAGGAGTGAGGGGCAGCACGCTGGCGCCCCTCGACACGGGGGACACAAGTAGGGCCAGGGCTCTGAGGAAGGGGAGGGAGGGACCGGGGAAGGCCAGACACAAGAAGACAGGAGGCCATGCCTCTGAGCCGAAGCAGAGAGGGGTGACCCAGGCGGTGGTGCCAGAGGAGAGTCTCGTGAGACAGGCGACGACACGAACAGGGGGCAGACTCAAGACCAGACCTGGACGCTGCAGCAAACACCTGACCTGACGAAGGGACCCTACCAGACTCGGGAACTGGAGGAGAAGCAGTGGTCAGTGTGTACAGGCTCGACCCTGGCTGACGTGTAAATGTAGCCAGGTGACGACCGGTGCTAGCCTCTGTGCAGTGCGTCACTCGCTGACGAGCAGGGGTGAACTGGTGGACTCCCGCATCCTGTAGGTCAGCACCACTCACCAAGTTGGTAGAGAACGAGGGGAGGTAGAGACCAGACAGGGTGCCAGAGGGAGCCGCCGGACACGGGAGGACTGTGGAGAAGCGAGACAGGAAAGGACCCCTAGAGGGGTCAGCCAGGGACACCGCAACCGGCCGACTAAGCGGCGTGAGTGTGGTGCGGTCCCGAAAGAAGGAGCGAGACGCTCCAGAGTCAAGGGTGAAGGTGTGGGAGGCCGAAGCCGACACAGTACCTGAGAGCGCAGACTCACTAGTACCTGAGAGAGCAGCCTCACCAGTACCTGAGAGCACCGACGCACTGGCACCTAGAGCAGAAGCCTCGCGGGCACCTAGAGCAGCAGTACCATTGCCCGGGTCGGGCGGGAAGCACAGGTAGCAGTCACCCTCATCACTAAGGGTCACAGCATACATGGCAGCAAGGATAGCATCAAAGTCAAGATCAAAGATAGCTACACCAGCCCTAGACAGCTCTCCCTAGCGGGGGATCTCCGCAGCCTCCGGGAACTGCTGGCGCCAAGCGTCCGTCAGGCGGCCAAAGCAGCGCTGGACGGTGTGGGTACCCCCACACTGCTCTCCAGCGCGGTCGCCAGTGCGAAGAACGTAGGTGCAGGGACCAAAACCCCCACCATACTGACGCTGCGTGTACCACTCACGGAGCTGCTGAGGGGTGGGGACGTCACGAGAACGCTGCTGCTGCTGCTGCTGCTGGCGCTGGCCACCCCCAGTGCTGCTCCGCTGCGAAGTGCCACTCCGACCACCTCCACCACTGCCACCCCCGCCTCCGCCTCCACCGCCCCCGCCTCCGCCTCCACCGCCACCGCCTCCGCCACCTCCGCCCCCACCGCCACCGCCGCCGCTACCCCAGCCTCCACTGCCGCCACTAGCACCCCCACCCCCGCCACCACCTCCACCGCCACCCCCACTCCCCCCGCCGCCTCCACCTCCACCTCCACCGCCTCCGCCGGCCCCACCCGCTCCCTTGCCCCCCTTGCCCTTGCCAGAGAGGCGTCTCCCGCTGGGGGCAGACGCCGCACCGACCGACTCAAGACCAACGAGGTCGACCGCAGCGACAGAGGCGACAGAGGGCAGGAGAGGGGAAGGAGAACACCCCTCAAAGATGGGGGCGCGGGGGTCACCCCGAGAGGCTCCTACAGCGACTATGCTCTTCTCCGCCGCTAGGAGGGCCTTCTCGAGGCTGTCGACTGTGAGGGTGGTGGGACAGACTGCTAGGAAGTGGTCCCGGACTACACGAAGGGAGTCAGGGAGGCGAGTGACTAAAAAGTAGAGAGTGATGTACATGGGGGGGGGGTTCTTGGCGCAGAAGTCAACAGGAAGCGCAGCGCGGTAGCGCGTGTCACTAGTGTGGAGGTGCGTAATGAGATCAGCGACAGTGGGAAAGGCGGCAAGGTCAGGGAAGAGGAAGGGGAGCATGAGGCGGCTCAGTGTAGCAGTGGCAGGGGAGGAGTAGCGCGCAACTACAGCGTCGTACAAGGTCTGGGCACTCTTGTACTGGCTAAAGTGCGCGCGCTCAGCAGTAGGCAGGTGGCGACGCACAGCAAGACGTGCAGCAGCATCGCGTGTGGCCCACTGTGAGCGAACAGTGGCGTCAGCATCAGCAGCAGGGGCAGGGACAGCTCCAGAGGTGAGGTCAAAGAGAGAAAGACCGTCTGCCCTATCGCACTGTAAAAACAGCTGCAGGTCGTCGAGCCAGACCTCAAAGTCAACGGCACGACCCTCAGCGTCTAAAGCTAGGACACTAGGGGTAGCCATGACGATAGACTAGCAGTGCAAGCAGTGTGGGAAGGGGCACGCAGTAGCAGTGGAGCTGTGCTCACCAGACAGGACGGGTCGGGCAGCTCAGCAGTACAGCAGCACGGCAACACAGCAGCTCTGCCGGCCCAGTAGCAACAGCAGCCACAGAGGACCAGCAGCTCGGCTCCTCAGGCTGCTCGGGCGGCTCGGGCGGCTGGGGCGGCTCGGGCGGCTCGGGCGGCTCGGGCGGCTCGGGCGACTCGGGCGGCTCGGGCGCTCAGCGGTACAGGCGGCTCGGGCGGCTCAGGTGGCAAAGGTGGCTCGGGCGGCTCGGCTCGTCAGCTGCGTAGGCGGCTCGGGCGGCTGGGGTGACGCGGGTGGCACGGTCGTCTCGGGCGTCGAAGGGCCGGAACAGCGTGGCGTGAGGGCGGCTGGGAGCTGGACCGGGGTGGGCGGCTCACGGGTGGCTCGGGGCCGGGACAGGCGGCTCACGGGCGGCGCACAGGCGGCTCACGGGCGGTTCACGGGTCGCTCACGGGCGGCTCACGGGCGGCTCACGAGCGGCTCACAGGCGGCTCACGGGCGGCTGACGGGTGGCTCACGGGCGGCTCACGGACGGCGCACGGGCGGCTCATGGGCGGCGCTGCAGGCGGCTAAGGGCGGCGCACGGGTGGCTCACGGGCGGTTAAGGGCGGCGCGTGGGCGGTGCGTGGGCGGCCTGAGGCCTGGCGGGTGGCGCGCGGGCGGCTAAGGGCGGCGCGCAAACGGCGCGTGGGCGGCCTGGGGCCTGGCGAGCGGCGCGCGGGCTGTTTAGGGCGGCGCGCAGGCTGCCTAGGGCGGCGTCGGGCTGCTAAGGGCGGCGCGCGGGCTGCCTAGGGTGGCGCGCGGGCTGCTAGGGGCGGCGCACGGGCTACACGGGGCCTGGACGGGCGGCGCGCTGGTGGCGTGAGGCCTGAGCGGGCGGCGCGCGGGCGGCTAGGGGCCGATCGACAGAAGTAAGAGAGGGCCCGGAGCACGCTCCGGGCAGAAAAAAAAAAAGTTCGAAGTAGTGGTGGGCCCTAAGCACAGTTCCCACAGGGGAACCTGCTCGATACCATGAGAAGAATAGAACGAGAATGAAATGACTATGAACGAAGTGAGTACAAATAGGAAACCCTAATTGGGTTGTACCCCCTATGGGATACCCCACTATAGCCTACACAAATAAGTAAGCTATAATGTTCTGACACATGAACGAGGAGTTTAGGCAATTTTTTAATAATTGCGTGATCGTTTACCTAGACGAGATCCTGATCTACAGTCGTGATATGCAGCGGCATTTACCGTATAGTGTCGGCTATAAGACCCGCCAGTATGAAGGCCCCCCGGGACTCTTGGATGGGTAGTTGGACTCTTATTGTGGCAGGTTTTTTGAGGACCCCACCTTTGCCCATTATCATCATAAGAACCCCCCACCCTTCCCTTAAGTGCCCTTTCCAATCTGGTGAAGTTAACTGTTAAACCTACACACACATCTCTTCACTTCATCGTCACTAGATCTAGGCATTACATGGTCAAGGTGGCTACGGTACCAGCACTCTACGTTACTGGCCCAAACATCTCTACCACCCCCCTACTCCTCACTCTTTGTCCGCGTCCTCCTCCAGCCCACCCTCTTCCTCCTCCTCCTCGTCTTCCTCCTCCTACCACCCCCCTACTCCTCACTTTTTGTCCGCGTCCTCCTCCAACCCACCCTCTTCCTCCTCCTCCTCGTCCTCCTCCTCCTCGTCCTCCACCTCCTTCTCCTCCTCCTCCTCCTCCTCCTCCTCCTTCTCCTCCTCCTCCTCCTCCTCCTCCTCCTCCTCCTCCTCCTCCTCCTCCTCCTCCTCCTCCTCCTCCTCCTCCTCCTCCTTTGCATCCATCTGGCCCTTTGCCTATGCATGGACGACGACTCCTGCACAAGAAAGGACGCTCATGGTTAAAAATCTGCCACAAGTATTAACAAAACAGAAGCGTGAACCGATTGCAACTCACCTGCAGGGACCCGACTTTTCGGGATAGTTTTGCGCTTGAAGATCACCATGACAGGGAGCTTGCGGCCGTCCGCGGTGATGCGGAGCATCACTGTCACCCTCTCCTTCCCATAGCACGCGCTCCTGACGTGCACAGTCTTCTTGCCGCGGTGATGAAGGGTGCGCTCGTTCGGCATCTCCAAGAACATCGGCGATTGGTCGGCATTTGTAATATTCCAGGGATCTATGCCATGCTTTATTACGTTCTTTGGTGTGAACGCCCAAAACTCCAAGCACTTCGACTTGCACTCTGCCACGAACGTTTACATCAAGATAGTTGGACATTAGTTATGGCAGTGGGTTGGACATTAATGTCACATGGCGTGGACCAAAGTATGGAAGCACACTGAGGTCGCGAACTACACGAATAACTCACCTTTAGCAAGACGCTTGCCCATCGTTGCGCGCACGGAAGCGGTAGGTCCACCTGTTGGACGCCATCCACCTCACGCCCGGGTAATGGGCCTTCATATAGCACCTGTTCCAATGCTTGATGAGCCGGATAGGGACGGCCAAGCCACGGCCGCGAAAGTTCAGCAGCCTCATGTATGCATGTGCCTCCATGTCAGGGTACTTCACCTTCCTCCCGCCCCCACTGAGGCGGCGCCTGGATGGTGCCGCTTTCTTTCTCCGTTCTGCCGCCCTGATCCACCGGCGGGCGCTGACTGGCTGCACCCCGGTGTGGCGGACAGAGAGTTTCTCCATGTCCATCTGCGCGAGCTAGTTCTGTTTCTCTCCCATCGTTTGCGCCTTGCGGCTGTGTGTAGTCTTGTGTGCGCGGGAACTCGATGACGCACTGTCAGCCCTGGATCGCGACCCGTTCTCGTCGTGGATGAGATCCTCAGGAAACGTCGGTACCGGGAAAGCCCAGACGTCGTTGTCCATCTCCTCATTCGTAGCGTTCTCCTCATCCTTGGCGGCGGGATCGGGAAACCCCTCGTCCTCGACGGGTTCTAACGGAGGGTTGGTGCACCAGTCGACGAAGGCCGGGGAAGCATAGGGGGGGGTGAAGGCACAGGAGGAACCGGGGGGGGCGGAGGTGTCTTCGGTGCAGGTGGAGCTGGCGGGGCCGGGCTTGTGATGAGCACGATAGCTTGCTGGCCAGACGAACTGCCTAAGCTTGAACGGCACGAACGCCATGGGCTTTCGAAAACCGACATTGCTAATAGCTGCTACTATTCTAATGGTAACTGCTTGCTTGAGTGGCAGCCGCCATAGCGTGCTATGTAGATGTGAAGGAAGGTGGAGTGGCGGATCAGGATGTGAGACAGGGAAAAGAGAGAAATGAAGCTTGCGGCCTCCCGTGCTCGGCAGACTATGAGACGTGAAACCCTAGTGCACCACGTCCAATGCCTCTGCTGCCACTGAGACAAGATGGGGTGCTTATGGGCCCCATGATGTGGCCATCTTGACGGCTGGTTCCATCAAGATGATGTGCGGTGCGTGAATAGGGGCGTTCAATCCGCCCTCGTGCATTGAAGTACGCCACGCGTTGTTCGCGACGTCACACACGTGGTGCTCCAAGTGAGCGATTTTGACCGGTTAGAAGTGTGAGTTATTTCATGACCGGTTAGAATTTCTGGGGCACGTCATTTTGGAGGCTGAGGTTGAGATTGACCCGAAGATGTTAGACACGGTCATAGCGTGGCGTCCCGCGACCAACATCACGGAACTGCAAAGCTTTCTAGGGTTCGTAATTACGTCCGTTGGATTGTCTCCGACATGGCGCCCTTAACAGCTCCACTGAAAGATTTACTGCGGAAGGGGGTGGCGTTTCCTTGGGGGGAGAAAGAGCATGCTGCCTTATCTGCCATGGAAACTGTTCTCTATTCACCGTCCGTTCTGCGCATCGCCGACCCCCACCGCCCATTCGAAGTAGTTACATACGCCAGCGACATCGCCATCGGAGCCATACTGCTACAAGATTTCGGCAATGGCCAACAACCCATCGCATACAAGTTTTGAAAACTGCATCCGTCAGAGAAAATTTACCCGATACACGACCGCGAAACGCTCGCGATCGTGCATGCATTCAAATGCTGGCGCTGCTACTTGACTGGCGCCGACATGACAGTACGGATAGATCACAAATCACTACAGTACCTTCGCGCACAGCCCCACCTCAACCCACGACAGAGGTCCGCTGGCTCGATTTCATCGAGTCAAATTTCCACTACACAGTCACCTACAAAAAGGGGGCATCGAACATCGCTGACGCACTAACCCGCCTCACTAGCCAGATACACACCATACCACTTGCCCAAACCAGCCCACTGCTCACATGACTATTTACCCACAAACCAAGCAGACTTGTTCTTCACTGGAGGAAATTCGCAGCAGCAAAGGGGGTGTATTACGTAAAACTGGCACCGATAGGATCTGGGTACCGGGCTACACTTTACTACGGAAATTTCTAGTACAGGAGGCACGTGACGGAGTTATCACATGACATTTTGGAGTAAATAAAACACGGAAGCAGGTGCAGCGATATTATTACTGGTCCGAGATGCCGACCGACGTTCAACGACACGTGGCATCGTGTCCCACCTGCCAGATCATGAAGTCGTCACGCAGCAACCAGCAGGAGAGTTGCAGCCGATACCACCCCTAGAGCGTGCGTGGCAGCAGGTGACGATGGACTTCGTCACGGGGATACCGGCCGGAGAAAGTGGGAACGACGCTATCCTGGTCGTCGTCGATCCGCTGACCAAGACGGCATATTTTACTGCCTGCAAGAAATCAATAACGGCCGAAGAAACTGCCTGACTCTTCATCTCTACCGTCATTCGACTGCACGGGATACCAGCGGCAATTATTAGCGATCGTGACACAAAGTTCACCAGCAACTCTTGGAGGAACCTGTGGCAGCAGTTCGGTACGCAACTACAGTTCAGCTCATCGTACCACCGCGAAACAGGCGGACAAACAGAACGGACAAACCAGACCATGGAACAGTTGATCCGAGCCACGTGCGACGATCCGGCAACATGGGAGCAGCAACTGCCTCTCATCAAATTCACATACAACAACTCCACATCGGCCAAGATGTAGCAGTCACCATTCTACCTCAACTACAGACAGAGCCCCACTGTGCCCATGACTCCGAATCCCGACAACCCAGCACCACGTGCGCAACTGTTTGCGGAAATCCTACAGGCAGCACGGACCCGGGCACAATTAAGAAATCGAACATCATCGCTAAACGCACCGCCGACAGCCACCGCCGCCCCGTCACATACCAACGCGACGACCTCGTACTCCTCGACACCCAAAACCTCCGCCTGCCCATTACTCCAAAACTTTGCCCTCGATATTGTGGACCATTCCGCATTAGCCACTTGATCGTTCTTGTCACTGCCCACCTCCTCCTCCCTGCTGGCTGGTACATCAGCCCGTCATTCCACGTCAGCTTACTCCGCCCATACATCCGATCCACCAGCCAACCGCCTCGCAACCGCCCAGCCAGCATGAAACAACCGCCAACAGAGCCAATTGTCAGAATATGATATTGTGTAGGCTGTAGTGGGGTATGCTGTAGTGAGTACAACTCTGTTAGGGTTTTCTACTTGTATCCCACCTGCCTATTAGTCAAACTCTCTTTTGCCTATTCTCCTTGCTAAACCCTAGCTATGGCTCCTGCGTTCTAACTTCTATATCAACATGCTATCAGAGCGGTTACGCTCCTGGCCTGTGGGCCCGCCTACTTCCGCTACCATACTATCTTTCGCGCGCCCCGTGGCGCGCGACGTTCTTTTTTCTTCCGGCCACGGGCTCGGGGCGCGTCGCGGTTTTCTGCCCACCACGCGCTCGAAGCGCGTGGCGGTTTCGTCACTCCTCACGGCGCCCCCGCGGCCCGCGCGCTGACCCCTCTTGTCGCCCGTCGCGGCGTCCCAGGGGCCCGCGCGTCGCCCCCCTCTCCTATCGCCCGTCGCGGCGCCACGGGTGCCCGCGCGCCGCCCTACCCGTCGCCCGTCGCAGCGCCCTGGGGCCCCGCGCGTCGCCCCCCCCCCCTCCCGTCACCCGTCGCGGCGCCCTGAAAGCCCGTGCGCCGCCCTGCCCGTCGCCCGTCACAACGCCCCAGGGACGCCCCACTTCTACTCACACGACGCCCCAGCTGCTGCCCGCGTTTCTGCCCCGTGTCGTGCGCGCGCCGCCTGCGTTGGGGTGTGGGGTGGCGGGTATGGGGGTGGCGGGTGTGTGAGCCGTCCCCTGCTCCTCCTCCTCCTCCGTCTCCCACTGCTGCAGCTGCCGCTGAGGGGGGTGGGTGTGTGGGAGCCGAGGGAGTGGTGCTAGGGGGGTGTCGTGGGAGTGGAGCTACGGGTGCAGCAAGGGGTGTGTGAAATGTGAAGAAATGAGGAAGGAATGAATGAACTAGCAAGTAGGTGGGTACAAGTAGGAAAACCTAAAAATGTTGTACCCCATATTGTCTACCCCACTCTAGCCTACACAGGCTATAGCATATGAGTTCGACACACCCCCATAGGCAAAGTGGGGGAGAAGAAGAGGTCACAAGACCAGTCAAGCAAAGCAAAGCAAGCTCAGGGTGGATCACAACGTCACCACACAGTCCGAGCACAAGAGCGAGGCCACAAGGCCAGTTCACATGCAAGATCATATATAAAGGTAAACAAGCAAGTGCAGGTATAGAAAGATCACAGTACAAGCAAGGTCAAGAAGTGAGCAAGTGAGGCCAAGTAGGCACAAGACCTAGCAAAGTACAGAAGGGCTGATGATCACAAGGCGGAAGTGCCTTGATAAAGATATCAGCAGTGTTGGCCTCAGAGGCCACGTAAGCAAGGCGCAGCTGACCACGCTGCTGCAACTCACGAGCAAGGAAGTAGCGAAGAGCAATGTGCTTCGTTCTGTGCTCCAGTCTGTGCTCCCGACACAAGGCCAGCATGGCCTTGTTGTCTACGTACAGAACTGGAGGAGAACGAGGCGGCTCTCCTAGGTCAGTCAGCAGGTAGGTGAGCCAGCGTAGCTCCTGTGCAGCCATGGCCCCCGCGTAGATCTCAGCCTCACAGCTGGAGCTGAGAACAGAAGACGAGCGGGTAGACCGCCACGAAACAGAGCCGGAGCCAAGGGTGGAGGTGTAACTCTGTGACGACCGCTGCGTAGCCTGGTCGTCAGCCCAAGAAGCTTCTGCATGACCTGTGGGGACCACTCGATGTCGCCCTCCAAGCACTAGCCCCATGCCCATCGTACTGCACAAGTAGTGCAACACCCTCTTCGCTGCAGCCATGTGCTCTGGTCGGTGTCTCCCAGGAGCAACATAGCGTGCCAAGATGCTAAGAGGGTATGCTAGGTCAAGTCATGTGCAGGTTATCAGGTACAAGAGGCAGCCAACAAGCTCTGGGTATGGGCCACTCGACTCTACGGACTCATCCGAAGGCAGAGCTGAGAGAGAGTGGCGAGTAGAGAGAGAGGAGTGGCCAGCGGCGAGGAGTACGTGAAGTCGAAGCGCTGAAGGACCTGCTGCACCATGTGTGATTGAGTCAGGGTCATGGTGCGCTGTGCTCTGTCCCGGGTGATCTGCAAGCCAAGGTACCTGCGCAGTTCACCCAAGTCTGTGCACGTGTGTCTCTTCTGCAGCTTGGTCTTTACGTGGGCGAGTCCAGCAATGTCAGCAGTGGCAAAGACCAACTCGTCGACGTACACGAGGATGTAGAACGGCGGCAAAGAGGTGTCGGTGCGCATAAACAGCGACGGGTCGGATGTAGAAGGAGCAAACCCAAGAGCCGCAAGTGTAGTCCTCAGTGTGTCGTGCCACTCACGGGGCGCCTGGCGGAGACCGTAGACTGGCCGCTGGAGGCTCCACTGGGTACCAGGAGGAAACGACCCAGTGAAGCCAGGTGGGCGGCGCAGCCAGATCTGCTCGTGCAGGCTGCCCTGTAGGAAAGTTGTGCTGAAGTCAAGAGTGTGAAGCTCGTAGTCGCGCTGAGCGGCTATGTGCAGCAGCACCCGAAGAGTGGTCATCTTCGGTGTGGGAGAGAAGGTCTGAAAGTAATCAACTCCCTGCCGATAACTGAAGCCTCGAGCCACGTAACGCGCCTTGAAGACAGGCGGAGAACCCGGCGGCCACTTCACCCTGAAAATCCACATGCCACTGACGATGTTCGCCCCAGGTGGGAGAACCTCGT